CAGTTGTATTAAACATTCCAACAAAAGAAGTAACATGAAAATACATATTCAAGCACAAAAAGATTATGAAACAAGCTGTTAATAGAAATTCTAAATGATCATGTGTTACTGAACAAAAGCACTAACAAATTGTTTCATTTACAGTCCCCTAAGTACTTCCCAGCTTCAGTTTAACAACAAATGATAAAGCCTTGATTCTTTCTCCCAAGTACTGAACTTTGGCCAGAGCTAAATACCCCTCTATTATGTAACCAAAACCTAATAATATTGATTGCACATATTTCATCTTTCCAACAGGACAAGACCACTATCATATTGCTGTGCAAGTTAACAATGTTGTACATCTTGTGGTTTCCCCACACATTTGAATTCCATTATGTTAAATATTTTCACAATTTACTGCTGCAGTTTCACCTAACAAAATCTTTACAAAGAACCAAAAATCTTGTGAGTTAACTCTATCAGCACAGGCTCGGTATCTGGGACCAACCTCATAACCCTTTCATGCTTGTTAGTTTTTGCTATAACTTTTAAATTAGTAAATGTTAATGAAATTTGGAAGATTATCAGTAAATATTACAAAGCTTTCATAAGCAAAATATAAATTTTTTTTATTAAGTCTTATATTTTATAAAGTGATGTTTTTCTCTTGCTTTTTTTTTTCTTTTCGCATGTTGCCTATCCAATATGCAAGGTAATTTTCATTTAAGATTAAAAATACTTGTGTCAAAATATTTTAAAATTTCACAGGTGAAATCTTTATGATGTCCAGATAGTTATCAAATGTTTCTTATGAATAAAACTTTATTTTATCTGTTATTTTCAGCAACGAATCTCTGTACGGGTTTGAAAATTTGCCCGATTTTGTAACCACATTAAAAAATTAGAAAATGAATATAAATTATGCCGATTTCGTTCTAGAATAAATAAATTGTAACACGAAAACATAAATGTTTAGACTAAATAGCTTAAATTTCATAAAATTATACATTTATACATATTTATTTTTATTATATTAACCTTTCAGCCATTCCTGGCTGACAATACAAAATTTACAACGATGCATGTGCACTCATGTTACCATATCCCATAATATAAAATTGACCTTTAGTCTGCACAAAGTGACCTGTCTTGGCTGTGCTTTAGTAGACTAGTATTTTGTAAAATATTCACATTTCAATTATTATACGTTATATATGTATATAGATTATTGGTATTTTGAAACAAGTTCTTAAACACATTTTTCTTAAAACAGAGCAGTAAATAAAAAAGTAAAAAACAATTATCTCTTCTAGTTATGATCTTTGTGCTTGGTTGCTGCTTAACGTAGGATGCTAAGCCTTTACAAATTTTTTTTGTTTTATATATACAGTTGAACAACCAAAAAATCGCAAATTACTATATCATTACCATAGAATTCCACTATAATTTATTACACGTAGTAACTAAGCTGTATTTCAGTCTAAAAAAAATGAAATTTTTGAGCAGACTAAAGACAACCTACCTCCTTAAAATCTTGGTTCAAAGAAAGAAATGGCATACAAACACATTAGAATGGCTGAGAAAGCCACTGGGGGACATTCTGAGCTTCCGATTAGTGATTCTTGTCATATATAGAAGTAACTTTATATAATGGAGGATTTTCAAAAATGGAAAAAGGTGGGCAGGGTGCCACTGTGTTAGATTTATT